CAAGAATGATACTGGCTAATTGCTTTCGCTAAAGCTTATTGACTGTTTCCTAGGAAACCACACACTAGACTAAGTTGTTCACGTGCTTTCCCCACTCCAAATTTATAAGACAGGTTTCATTATCCTCATCCACATTGTAGAAGTGAAAGATGAGAAGGTAAAAGGTTGAGTCAACCACTTAATGCACACAGACCACAATGTAAGTCCAGGACAGGGATTTGAACACGGGTGTTTGGATGCTACAAGCCAGGCACTAGGCAGTCTGTTGTCGTACCACTTGGCATTTATTTAGCACACAGGGAGTAGGGGAGCCAGAGGAGTAAATAGGAAATTAACGTATAAAGTCTTGGCTCCAGGAAATCAATGGATGCTCGCAAGAGCCTCTGAGCAAAGCTAAGAGGTCAGGCATGCCTTGCTGGTGGAGAGGGTGAGGTGAGGCCAGTGTTCCAAAAGGAAGACCAGAAGCTTTCAAAGAACATGGGCCACTGAGACAACCCAAGAAATTCTGCAAAATCAAAACAAAGGGGGCAAGAAGTGACCGGGTCTTGTTGAGAGATAATGCTGGAGCTATAGACAGGTCCAAAGCCATAAAGATCTGACCTTCCTTGCTGACTTCTATCAGCACCTACATCACCCCAAGTACCAAGATTGCCATCAGTGTTAAAGTCAAGAGCAACATCTTTTTCCTTATGTTTGTTTGGATGCAGATCAAGGGATAGCAAGGAGGAGACACTGCAGAATGCTGTAATAATGTCTGCATTATCACTCCAGCACATCAGACATTTGTACAAGAAACAGACCACAGAATACCTAAGTCTCACTCAATCCTGGGAAGACACTTGCTGACTCTCTTGAGTTAGGCAGGAGCTACTCCAAGGATGTGTAACTCTGTGTTAAATAAGCCCAAATGCAACGCTATTCCTGACTTTGTCTTCTTGAGTTCAGAAGTCTGTAGTTTGAATTCTTGGGAAAATTGCCTTTTTCTAAAGATAATGCTAAATTTAGCTCTGGGCCACTGTATGTGAAGGAAAGTAAGAAGCTAAAAGGTCAAGGAAGGAAATGTCAAGTTGGAAACGCCTTGGAAAGTTCTTAGAGCCATGCTCTCTCTTTATTGTGATAGAAGCCAATGGCTATTTTCCCTTCTTTCTTCATTGTGCTCTGGTTTGGTCCCAGGAACCCGCCTTTAGGAGACAGGCTGGGCCAGTAAGCCCAACTCTGACAATGGCTTCCTCTGTGTAACACATTCCAAGCTCTTGGCCAAGCCCAGGACATCCAGGGGCTCCAGGGAACGCTACGCTGAGGACCTTCAGAGAGTGTCCCAAAAGCTTCTATGGCCACCTCAAATCAAAGCATCAAGAGAAAACCAGATAGAGACAACAAACTTAGATCATGATTCACCAATTGTTCATATTTCTTCTATTTTAAAAACTTCTTTCTTATTCTAGAAGTAAAATCTATTTATCACTCAAAACTTGGAAATTACAGAAAGATAAAAAGCAAGCAAATAAAAATTACCCATCACCCTGTTATACTTTTTATAATTTGGGATAAATCTCTGTAGTTATTTTTATTTAACTATAAAATTTATTCTTTTTCATAGAAATACATATTTTTACAAAGAACTTATGTAAGCATATATACCTATAAGTAAATGTATAACAGAAAATGGATCCTATTCCCTATACGGTCTCCACTTCCCACTTTTCTAATAGGAGTTTATTATTTTCTTAATTATTTATAAGGGTTTTTTTTTTTTTTTTTTTTTGAGACGGAGTCTTGCCCTGTCGCCCTGTCACCAGGCTGGAGTGCAATGGTACGATCTCGGCTAACTGCAACCTCCACCTTCTGGATTCAAGCAATTCTCCTGCCACAGCCTCCTGAGTAGCTGGGATTACAGGTGCACGCCTCCATACCCAGCTAATTTTTGTATTTTTAGTAGAGACTGGGTTTCACCATGTTGGCCAGGATGGTATTGATCTCTTGACCTCAAGATCCACCTGCTTCAGCCTCCCAAAGTGTTGGGATTACAGGCCATCACATGAGCCATCATGCCCGGCCTGTAGGGGTCTTTTCTATATGAAAAGGACTTACCTTTTGTTAGTTGTACAAAACATTTTTCAAATTTATAATTAGCCTCTCAGTAGTTATTCCTTTTCTATATGTGAATGGTTTTAATTTCCATGTAGTCAAATCCACTGTATTTTCCTTTATGATTGATGCCATTGATATTGTCCTTAGAAAACTCTTCACTCATCCCAAAATTATGTAATCACCTGCCTTTTCTTATAAAACTTTTATTTTTTCTCTGAATGTAAATCATTAATTCCTGTAAAATGTATGCTCATAAAGGGTATGAGGAAGACATCTAGCTTGCTATTTTCAAATTGGTGAGCCAATGACTTCAATATCATTTACTGGCAAATCCATTGTTCCCCCAATGAATTGAAATGTTGTCTTCATTATGGAATATTTTTATGCTGATAATATATTTCTGGACTTCGGTGTTGCTCTGTTACCCAGGCTAGAGTGCAGTGGTGCGATCTCAGCTCACTGCAACCTCTGCCTCCCAGGTTCAAGAGATTCTCCTGCCTCAGACTCCCGAGTAGCTGGGATTACAGGCACCTGCCACCACGTCTGGCTAATTTTTGTATTTTTAGTACAGACATGGTTTCACCATCTTGGCCAGGCTGGTCTTGAACTCCTGACCTTATGATCCACCCGCTTCAGCCTCTCAAAGTGCTGGGATTGCAGGTGTGAGCCACCGTGCCCAGCCATTTCTGGACAAACTTAATAGAGTCAGGTGGAAGTCACTTTCTTTACTATGCTTTTACCAGTCCAGTTGCCCAGATATTCCTTGAAGGCCAGCCACTACTCTATGTTCTGTAAATGTCCTCTATGACAGTGTTTGACAGTGAGTGAATTCTTCAGTCACCAGCATCACAGTTCTTTGCTCAAAATTTAGACTCTTGAGCACCAACTCTCATTTACTAAGTCAGAATCTCAGGAGATAGGCTCAGGAATATATTTTTTTCTCTTTTTTAAAACTCATTGCATGCCAACGAGTTTGCAAATCACTACTTTAGGAGACCCAAAATTGATGAAAGAAAAAGGGAAGTGAGTTGTAAGCCTAGTTCTGACTTTAACTAGTTATGTGTCCTTGAGAAAGCCCCTTCACCTGTCTCATGAATCCAAAGACTTCTGGGGTTTCTTCCAGGAATATTATCATTTTTATCCATGTAAAAACGTATGACACACAGAATAGTAGGTATATGCTTCATGGAGATGGAACTGGACAATACTTAAAACAAAAGTAGGAATTTTTGGACAAAGTGTATTGAGTATTCCAGTCAACATGACCATAGCTAACATTGGAGGGGCAATGACACAGCATTCCTGACCTGGATCACGAGCTTCTCCTTGGAAAGTAGCCAAAGGCAAATTATGAAGAAAGACTGCTGTCTTAGTCCATTTTACATTGCTATAACAGAATAACACACACTGGGTAATTTATAAGGAAAGGAAATGCATTTCTTACAGTTCTGGAGGCTTAGAAGTCCAAGTGTCTGGCTTGGAAGGCCAGCATCTGGTGAGGACCTTCTTGCTGTGTCAAAACATGGCAGAAGGCATTACATGGCAAGAAGACAAGAGCATGCTTGTCAGCTCAGGTCTCTCTTCTTCTTCTTATAAAGTCATCAGTCCCATCATGGAGTCCCAACCTGATAACTTTGTCTAATTCTAATTACTTTCCATTGGCCCTACCTCCAATCTACATATGAATTTGGGGATTAAGTTTCTAATACATAAATTTGGGGGACACATTCAAACCAAAGCAACTATAAGCTGCCTTAAATGTCAGAATAAAAAAGTTTTATTTTTGTAAGTAGGCAACTACTGGCCATTGATAATTGATGAGCAGAGGAATGGCACAATGGAAGTGTGGTTTTGTATGTCAGGAAATACAAGAGCCTTGTGGCAGAATGGCCAATTAGGAAGCTCCTAGAAAGCTATGGAGAAACACTAATAAGGCCATAGATTGGAGTGGTCATGAGATACAAAGAAGTGTTTCAAAATGACTTAGATATTCCAGTTTTAGCCCTGACAGCGAAAGAGCTTAGAAGCCATCACGTCCATTTTTATAACAAGAAAAACCTGGACAAACTGAAAATAGATAGCCATAGCTATGCACAGGAAAAATTTGAATAAATACATGAAAATATTTTATTGGGAGAAAAGGTTTACTATAGAAAAGTGATAGATTCTCTTTATTTTAGCATAACTTGAATGAAATGCCATTAAAAATTTCACATAATTTTTGAGGACACTTAATATGAGAATCTTAATGTTTACTTTGTGGAATAAAGTCATAAGAAAAGCAAAAAAATGCTAATGAAGGTAAATAGGGTTATAGAAGGACTTTTGACAGATTTTTAGTTGCATTATTAATTTTGGTTCTTAAAACCATAAGCAAAGTTACGACAAAAAAAAAAATAGAGAGTAGATGTTCTTACCCAATATACCAACTTAGTATTTTAGAAATTTAAATGGAGGTGTCAAGGAATCTAGTCATTAGTTGTCTAAAATAGTAAAAGCAGGATTGTGGTTCATAAGGGGCCTCATCCCAGCACACACATCAGATATATCTATTTCAAGAGTAAGTAAAGAAGGTATATTTCTTAGGAAGGAATTGGGCTCTGAGGATATCGCTCAGAGAGGTTGGAAGCTCTGCTTCAAAATATTCTCAGCTTTCTTATTCCAGATGAAACCTTGTCATCCCTAGAGCATAGATGTCATCCATGGAATTCAAGATGGCCGCATTCACACATAGGTAGGAAGAGGCAGAAAGAGATTATAAAGAGGAAGGGGCACAGGTCAGGGGACAACAGCCCTATAGGACAGTTTCTGAAAGTTGCGTTCTTCTTTTACCACACTGGCCAAGAAAAAAAGAAGTCATATGTTACTTCTAGTTGCCAAGGAAGACGAAATTTTGCCTTTTCTTTTCTTTTTTTTTTTTTTAGCATCCCAGTGCCCGGTTAAAATTCTATCGGAAGCAAAATGGATATTTGAAGACAAACAACAGTCTCCACCAAAAAAGGAGGGAGGCAGAACTGGAGGGAGGAAATTGAAAAGGTATTGTAATGTGGAATTTGGGAGCATCTTTGTGAAATAGTCTCTGAAATGAGCATAGATGTGGATATTTCTTGGCTCCCCTGGCATGAATGATGTAAAATAACTCCCAAGTTTCCTAAAGTTCCACAATCCTGAGTCACAGCTTTCTGCAGCATCAGTTCATGTTATCCCAGAGCCTGAACAAGACACTACTAGGAAAAAGAAGTCCTTGTTTTAGAAAATTTTAGAAAATAATGATAATAATGTATGAAACCATGGCATCATGCTGTGTATAATATTTTAATCTGCTTTAAAACTTAACATTTTGATAACATTGTCTGGAACAATAACCAACATAGAATGAGAAATTCCCCAGAGAAATAAACCTTTTTCTAAGTCATTTTTTTTTAATGTCTGCATAGCATTTCACCATAATTTATTTTACCAAGACCCCATGGTTGGATGACCACATCATGTAATTCTGCCACAGCAGGTAAAGCAAAACCTACCTCGACCATAAGAATGCCTTCTATTATCCAAGTCAAACAAACAACTGCTCGACTGTTACAGAACCTGTTTAGCTTAAGCCTCTTATTCTGTTTTCCCAATTAGCAATTGTCCAGGTAAACCGTTAATCCCAAATTGCTCACTTGGCATTAAAGGATTTTTTTCCCCTCTTTCCTTTAATCAGTGTAACCAAAGAAAACCATGAGTAACTTTGACTTTCAGGTATCAAAAGTGGTTTTCCCGGTCTGTGACAGGTTTCATTGAATGTGTGCAACAGAGGATGGAGATTGATGCATAGGCAGGTCTGCTGCCCAGATGGCCTACCTAGTCTTGTTTTGCTTTTCAATTGAGCCAACATTGAAAATGAGAATATTTCACATAAACATGTAGAGTTCTGGCTTCTCTTAAAATATCTGACAGTTCCTGGCCCACACGCTTACATGATTAAATTGGGTAGGAACTGGTTAGTGGCCTTTCTCTGTAGGATGCAGATTCTAATTCCATTTGGACTCAGTATTGTGTCTTTGACTCTGAGACCAAGTTGCATTTGCATTTATAAGCATACATGGGATGTCGGTTTTCTCAATAAAGGAAAACCCTCCTCCCTGACCATGTCTCTATCAAAATTCAGAAGGTAAAAGATAAGCTAAGAAAGTTGCTTGCGTGCTTTAAGAAAAATGGAAGAGAGCACATCACTTAGAGGAAATGCAAGGTTCTTAAATAATTGCCTGTCACATCAGCTCACTCATGCTATCACCTTCCTGGTTCCAGAAGGTATTTGAGTTTGAGATCCCTGGTATAGAGCTTACTCCTGAAATATTTACCCAACAGGAAATCTAACTTGAAGTTTTTTCTAGTAAAAGAAACCATCTCGGTAACTTTATCCATCTCATTCTTCATCAAAACGTAGCTGTGTCTCTAGGTGACTGTCTCATACCCCTAGTCATGCTCATGATCCCATTCGTTCTTAGCTTCTGGGAGTTTTGCTTCCAACACTAAGTCCATCTGTTTTTTACATCTCTACTCTTTTACTGCACAGATCTCATCAGCTATTAAGAAAACTACTACTTCCCTTTACTACTGCTGTTTCTTCCTTTCATTGCCCAGATACTTGAGCAAATAGTGTGTGGTCCTTACCCCAAGTTTTGTGTCATTTATGCCATCTGCTACACTTACCTCAAGCCAAGTTTGATTCCATGCAGTCTGGGGTTCATTCTAATAACTTCCTTGATCATTCTCTCATCAAGATCGTCAAAGGTTTCCTTCTAACCACTTCCGGTTACTTTGCTTCCATTGAATGTACTGGGCTTTTAACAATACTGGATTTCCATGCTTTTTTGAGAACTTGTTGCCCCTGGATTTCATGACAATAGATAATCTAGGTTTTTCCACCCCCAACAGGAAATGGCTTCCTAGCTTCTTTATTTTCTATAAAATCTAAACTTTCTCCTATGAAGAGTGTGTTTGTATTTACAGCTCTCATTGCTACGTATATCTCTTATGCCCCCAGGTGATGCATCTTTACAGAAGCTTTTACCCAAATATATGTATAAACCTTTTAGATTTTAAGGTTTTAGATTATAACACCTTTTAGATTTTAGATTCACTTACAATTAGCTTAATGAATAGTGTATCATATTCCCAACTGCTAATGTTGATATTATTAATTCTACTCTCATTTTAGGAATAAACAACTCCAGAGAAGTTAATATGCACCTGCTCATGAATGACTGGAAAATAGTGTAAATGTCAGCTTGACGGCTGCAGAAACTTGGTGCTGGGGAAGGCAACAGCTGACAGTGATGATTAGACACCATGAATTAATAGTAGGAAGTCCATATGGTGATACAGACAGAGAATCTTCATTCAGTTCAGAGAGTCTTAATCAGCTCTGTCACTTAATTGTTACATGACTGTATTCGCTATACTAAGTGATTGCTCTGACCTGTTTTCTTAGCTTTAAAATGAACAACATCATAATAATTAAATTGCTTGAAGTTGGGATCTGAAACACACTTTTGTTTGTGGCAGGAATTGGTGTTCTTGTTCGCCGTGTCCACACCACTGAGATTTTCTGTCTTCCTTTTCTGTTCTCCCTGTTTTCCCCAAGCAGCCTTACCATGAATGTGACAGAGCACTAGCAAGCTCCCTGACACTGAGAACTCCTGCTGAGGGCCTGGTCTGTATGCCTCATCCCCGGGGAGGTGATGATTCATCCGCTCAGCCGGCACCATGATGAGGTGCTGTGTCATCTATGTGGGTGGCTGTGATTTTTGAGATGCTCCTGCAGCTGTGACCCATCCTCATAGGGAACTCCTTTGGATGCTGAAATAAGTTCCTTGTTATTCCTGATTTTGCTGGCTGCAATGACCACTTCAGAATTTCTACGTAGGAGGGTCCTAGGGTCAGCCTTTTATTCGGGGAGAAGGATTTGTCTAGGAGACTTCCTTAAAACCGCACATGAATAGCAAGTTCATTATTTTTACACACATTGCTTGTTTATTTGAGGGGACTGGAAGGTACTAAGGAAAACCTACATCCAAGCCGCTGTGAAGCACCAGTTACTTTCATTTTGGAATTGACATTTGTACCACTCACCATTTCTCTTTTAGGGGAGTGGCATAGCCCTTATGGTTGGATTGTTTCCACCAATTCTGACCTTGGTATGTCCAGCTCCTTCATTTCTCATGTGTCCACTTGCTGATGGTCCCACAGTATCTACTGGTTCTTCCTGAGATGTGACACATTCTTCTAAAAATGTTTTCATTCTCCCCGCCAGCATCACCCATCTGTTAATCAAATGATCATCTTGATAGCAGCACCAGCTCTTTCTTCTCTTAAAAGGCCACACCATTCCTTAAATCCGGTAGAATATCGTAATTCCTTTTGTTGATGGGATCAATAATGATGACTCCTCTTTAATTTCCTCTTTTAACCTTAGTAAACCTGGCTAGAAGCCTATGAATTTTATGAATCCTTTCAAAGAACCAACTTTTGGTTTCACTGGTTTTCTCTATTGAGTTTTTGTTTTAAATTTGGTTGATTTTTTAAATCTAATTTTTAAATTTTATTTTATTTTAAATTCAGGGAGTACATGTGCATGTCTGTTATGTGGATATATTGCGTACTGGTGAAGATCGAGTTTCTAGTGCACCCATTATCCAAAGAGTGAACATTGTGCCCATGGGTAATTTCTCAACTCTCGCACCACCCCCTACCCTCACTTAAATATTTTTTCTTTCTTTATGTTCACTTTAGTCTTAAATCACTCTTCTTTCTCTAGGTTCATAAGGTATAAGATTGGATTTGGATCTTCTTTTTCTGACATATGCATTTAATACCATAAATTTCCCTCTACGCACTGTTTTTACTACATGCCACAAGTTTTGATAAGTTGTATTTCCATTTTTGTTTAGTTCAAAATAGTTTCTTTTTATTTGAGACAGAGTCTCGCCCTGTCCCCCAGGCTGGAGTGCGATGGCCCGATCTTGGCTCACTGCAACCTCCGCCTCCCAGATTCAAGCGATTCTCGTGCCTCAGCCTCCTGAGTAGCTGGGATTACAGACACACGCCACCATGCCCAGCTAATTTTTGTATTTGTAGTAGAGATGGGGTTTCACCATGTTGGTCAGGCTAGTCTCGAACTGCTGACCTCAGGTGATCCACCAGCCTCAACCTCCCAAAGTGCTGGGATTATAGGCATTAGCCACCACACCTGGCCCTAGTTCAAAATATTTTCTAAGTGTATATTGAGACTTCTTTTTCGATCCACATATTACTTAGAAGCATGTTGTCTAATCTCCAAAAATCTGAGAATGTTCCTTTCTTTCTGTTAATAATTTCTAGTTCAAGTCCATTGTGGTGTAAGAACATATGTTGTATGATTTCTATATTTTAAATTTAGAAAGGTATGTTTTATGTCCTGGAATTTGGTCTATTTTAGTGACTGTTCCATGTGAGCTAGAGAGAAATGTGTATTCTGCTGTTTTGGGATGGTATATTTTATGAATGTTAATTATGTCAGTTTGATAGTGCTTTCACTAGCACTTCTTATTAACTCTTGGATGTTTTTATGTATTTTGCTACTAGTGAAATGCCAATTTATTGTTAAGTATTTTGATTCTCAGTACATCATATATACTGAACAAATATTTGAAAGAAAACTGAGGTTAAACACTTAGACTTATTTCATTCACTCCTCTTATTTTATGCACTATAAGGTATGCCAGAAAGATAATGTGACTTGGCTGAGATCACTCAGCTGCATATATCTTTTTAATGCGCATACCAAACAGGTACAATAAGAGTGTAACAGTAAAAAGAAAAGTAGTTACTGTCCAACAGACATAGATTTGAACCTTGGACTGCTCACATACAAACTGAGTAACTGTGGCCTTTCTGCATCTCAGTCACTCAATCAGTAAAAATTGTGGACCACAACCTCAAGCTTGCAGAGTTGTTGTGAGGATTAAATAACAAATTGCATTAAAAACACAGCCCACGCTGAGCTCATGACACTGTATGTGTTCCAAAAGTGCTCTGTCCTGTCTACATCTGGAAATAGGAGAGCTTATGCCACCAGGTACAAAAAGAATTCTCTGCTGTTGAAACCCCGTCTCTACTAAAAATACAAAAAATTAGCCAGGCGTGGTGGCGGGCGCCTGTAGTCCCAGCTACTCGGGAGGCTGAGGCAGGAGAATGGCGTGAACCTGGGAGGCGCAGCTTGCAGTGAGCTGAGATCGCACCACTGCACTCCAGCCTGGGTGACAGAGCGAGACTCTGTCTAAAAAAATAAATAAATAAAAAATAAAGAATTCTCCGTGAAGCAAAAGTGATGACATTATTGCAACAAACACAGGGAAAATTGAGAAAATAATCTTCACTCAAAGAATCAATTGAAATAAGATAATAAGACTGTCCCATATAAAGATATAGCAGAAAACATTTGAATCCATATCCCTCAGCTGATTAATGACAGATAGGCCAGCTTCGCTGTAAAGAGTCCCATTGGGTTTAGAGCTTGTTTTCAACTATGGAATCACAAAGTGTCTGTCCTGTGGGTAACTTCAGTGACTTGGATGTGGAGCTATTTTAATATGTAGTAACTGTGGATGAGAATTTCTGTTGCCCTATTTTTTTTTACGCCAGTCACTGGAAACCAATAGTTTACTTCTAACTTTTATCTATTATGGTCCAGTAGCCAATTTGTGTTTTCTCCACGCCGGTAGCACACCATGCAAATCTGTTCTGTGCATCTTGGGTTTCTTTCCGGGTGTCCTGTCCTGGAAGGGTGCAGAACACTAGTGCACACCGAATGAAGGATAGTATCCTGGGAGGCAGTGACTCACTCAGACACATGCCAGGTCCAGAAAAGTATAGCATCCGGCCGAGTCTTAAATAATCAATTCCGACAATTACAGATGGAGTAGAATTTACACACAGGAAATGTCAGTCAGATAATGGCTCTGTGTAATATCAGGAAGGTTCACTGTGCTAACTTCAAATGTCACTTATTAAAAGAGGCTGATTATGTTTATGTTTGTTTACATTTGGCCACATGATAATCTTACTTGTTTTTATGTTGTAGTTGTGTCTAATGATTCCTGGAATAATCTTATGTTGCTGGTTATCTATACACTGAAAGGAATATGTTACTCAAATGTGCAATGTCACAAAATAGTTCTTAAAAACATTTTTATTGTTTTTGACATGATGTCCAGAAATAATCATTGCAATAAGCATTGTTTTAGGGTTCACTGAACTGGGACTATCCTGGTACCTGAAAAGGATAAACTAGATAAGTAGCTATGCTCATGATATGGGGCCTTAACCCAAATTACATGTGTTTTTAAAAATTCAGGTAATATTTTTACTTATTTCCATTAACTTTTTCATGTAATTTTACTTCCTATTCTGTTTAAGAATATGACTTATGTAGTGTGGATTTTTTTTTTTTTTTTTTTTTGAGACAGGGTCTCACTCTGTCACCCAGACTGGAGTACAGTGGCACAGTCACGGCTCACTGCAGCCTCAATATCTTAGGCTCAAGTGATCCTCCTACCTCAGCCTCCTGAGCAGCTAGAATTACAGGTGCACACCACCATGCCCACCTATTAGTATTTTTTGTAGAGATGGGATCTCACTATGTTGCCCAGCCTGGTCTCAAACTCCTGGGCTCAGGAGGTCCACTTGTCTAGGCCTCTCAAAGTGCTGGGATTACAGGCATGAGCCACCGCCCCCATCAGTGTGGATTTTAAAAATAAAATTCCAGCCTTATCTGAAAACAGCTTCATTCATGTATCCAATCATAAATAGTATAAAAGCACTATAGAAATCATAAAGAAAAAGGCAGGTATACAACTACACAAAAACTTAGCATTTCTAAGTATCCAAAACACTATGAGAACACTTAAAAGTAAAATATACGCTGGAACAAAATGAAGGCTAATATGCTGAGTAAGTATAGATCTACTAAAACATCAGTAAAAACTATTATCCTGAAGGAAAAGTGGGCCAAAAAATGAAAATATTAAGCATGCCAAATATTGGTCACACTCAGTATTAATGAAATAATGGACAGCGAGGCATGATAAATCAATTACAAATTAAAACACAATTTTATATCTTGTTAGAATAAAAACTTTGCACAAGTTAAATTTAACACAGTTTCATTGAGCAAAGAGCAATTCTCGAATTGGACATCCTAAGAACCAGAAGTACTTCTGAAACGTGTGTAGGCATTAAATGTTAATTTTTTGTGCAATTTTATATCAGCCTTTTCATTTATGATTTTTATAGTGCTTTTATGCTTATTATATGTGGATGCACGCATGGAGGTAAATTTACGGAAAGAAAACACCAGTGAGGTAAAGAAAGCTTGATTGATAACCGCTCCGGATTTGCCTTCCTTGAACGCGGTCCGATCAGTTTGCAGTCTTTGATTGGGAAAGCTCAGCTGCTGTGATTGGCTGAGACTACTCGTAGGCTAGGCTTTCAGCTTGTTTGTGTAACAAGT